CTGATGCTGCCTGGCCTGCTGTGTTCCTCCAGCTCCACACTGTGTTACCTAGAAAGTGTAAGTGTTTTGCTAATCTATTGGGCACACAATAGGAGTCACCTGGAACTAGAGAGTGCTTAGTCATGTGAATCTCACTGAGGATTCCCCTTAGTCTCGCAGAGAATTGGGAGGGAGTGGGGGGTGAGCAAGAGACCAAACAGAGGCGTACCAGCTGCTACAGAAAGCAAGGACAGGAGAATGAGGTAGACTCCACCCCTTACTGTGTTGATAATCAATCTCACCTCAAAACAATCACGCTTTTTCTTTAATATTCATTCATAGCATGTGAGCAACACTGGCTAGGCCAGCATTTAATAGCCTCCCTAACTGCCCAGAGGATATTTAAGTATCAACCACATTGCTGTAGGTCTGGAGTCACATGTAGGCCAGACCCAGGTAATGATGGCAGTTTCCTTTCCAAAAGGACATGACTGAAGTAGATGATTTTTTTTTCTCATAACAGTTTGATGGCCATCGTTAGACTCTTAATTCCAAATTATTATTGGATTAAAATTCCACCATCTGCCATAGTGGGATTCAAGCCTGTGTCCCCAGCATAATACCTGGATCTTTGGATTAATAGTTTAGCAATAATACCAACATGCCATTGCTCTCAGTATAATAAAAACAAACTATTGTGGATGCTGGAAGTCTGAAACACATAAAAATTGCTGGAGGAAATCAATAGGTTTGAATGCATCTGTCGAGAGAGAAACAGGGTTAAATATTTCCACTTCTTCACAACATAGATTTAAGAAGGAGTTAGATATAGTTACATTTCCACAGGATTAGTCTGGCATCTTGGGACTAGCCACATTAACATTACTACTGTACTGCCATTCCTTAACATCTCCTCCAGATTGTAGCCCCTGTACAGTGAAGATGACAATTTGTTGCGCCTGTTGTGAAAAGTTTCTCCGAACTTCTTCCCTGATTCGTGAATGTTCATGTCAGAAGTAAATTTCCTTGAAGCTTCTCCCGTTCTGACACTGTGGGTGGGATTCCTGGGGGAATAGGCTGCTCACTCCCTCTATGACGATCCCAAATGGACTGACTTCCAGAACGTCCAGCACTGGTAACACACTCAGGGCTGACGTTGGACTTCCTGACCAACACCTCAGCAAATCTAGCAGCATCAGAATGCAACAGGGAGCACGGCTGGGAGCATAGGGAAGCCCTTTGATGAAGTTCATGGTAATCTGAACACACACATCCTGGGCTTTTAGAGTAGGAAGGGCTAGGAAAGCCTGGGGAGTGGGGGGGGGGGTTGGAAGGGAAGAGGAGCTGTGGGGAGGAAGAGAGCCAAGCTTTGGTTGGCGGACAGAGAGGAAAGTAGAGAGGGATGACCATTTGGAAGGTTGAGGGTATGGCCCCCGATGTGTACAATCTATATGGATCTCAAACAGGCAAAAGTCAGGCAGCTCAGTGGGTGCCTTTTCTAACCCACAACCTCCCCCTGCTGTATATTATGGGAAAGTCCAGGGTGGGTGTGACTGGTATGCTGGCCACTCAACATATTTTACATACTCTACTAACAAAGGGGGCAGGTCAATGTACTCAGCTCCTAACTTCAAGGTAAGTTTAATGGAAACTTGTGCGCAGCAAAGGAGGAAAAACTCCAAGAGGTTCACCCAACTTGATTTTATAACCCTTTAAGCTCCAGTCACTAGAGAAAAGAAATGACCTTCGACTCTCACAAAGACTTCCATAATTTAAAAATAAATCAAAACTGCTGTTTGGTACTTTTTGATTTGCCTGTTTTCCATTTGAAACAGCCCAGATTCCTAAGTCCTTTTTTTTCAAAATCTGATGGCACATTGCAATATTCAAAGAGCACCTTTTAAGTTTTACAATGTCTCATCATTTCTGAGCTAAATTTTACAGATAACAGAAACTAGGTTAATGTTGTTGGCAGGATGACATTTTAAAAGATGAAACAGACCAAAAGCTTTTCATAAAAAATTGAGAAGTCTGGAGGAGGGCCATATTTTAATCTTACATAAATTTTTTAAGTGCTTTTAAGGATCGGAATGTAGCTATAAAATCATTGAGCTAATTCATCAAGGGTATTTCACAAAGAACAGTAAGTCCAAGTGACTAGGGAGAGAATAGGGCCGCTTAAAGATCAAGGAGGTTGTCTATGTGTGGAACCACAGGAGATGGGAGAGATACCAAATGAATATTTCGCTCCAGCTTTTACTGTGGAGAAAGAAATGGAGGCTAGGGAACGCAGAGAAATAAATATTGATGTCTTGAAAACAGCCCACTTTACAGAAGAGGAGGTGCTGGAAATCTTACGAAACATAAAGGTAGATAAATCTCCAGGACCTGATCAAGTGTATCCTAGGGCATTGTGGGAAGTTAGGGTAGAAATTGCAGCAGCCTAACAGAGATATTTGTATCATCTATGACCATGAGGTGCCCGAGGACTGGATGATGACAGATGTTGTACCTTTATTTAAGAAAGGCTGTAAGGAGAAGCCTGGGAACTACAAAGCTGTGAGCCTGACATCAGTGGTGGGTAAGTTGTTGGAGGGCATTCTGAGAGATAGGAGTTACATGCATTTGGAGAGGCAAGAGCTGATTAGGGATAGTCAGCACACCTTTGTGCAAGGCAAATCGTGTCTCACAAACTTGATTGACATTTTGAGGACATAACCAAAAAGATTGATGAGGACAGAGCAGAAGACATGTCTACATGGACTTTAATAAAGCCTTTGACAGGGTCCACATGATAGAGTAATTAGTAAAGTCAGATCACATGGAATTCAGCATGAGTTTGTCAATTGGATACAAAATTGGCTTGATGGTAGGAGACAGGGGGTGCTGGTGGAGGGTTGTTTTTCATACTGGAGGCCTGTGACCAGTGGTATTCTGCAGGGATATGTGCTGGGCTCACTTTTGTTTGTCATTTATATAAATGATTTAGATGAGAATATAGAAGACATGGTTAGTAAGTTTGCAGATGACACCAAAATCAGTGGTATTGTAGACAGTGAAGAAGGTTACCGAAGATTATAAAGGGATCTTAATCAGTTGGGGCAATGATGGTAGATGGAGTTTAATTTGGATAAATGTGAGGTACTGTACTTTGGCAAAACAAACAATGGCAGGACTGATATAGTTAATGGTATGGCTGTGGGTAGTGTTGTCAAACAGGGAGACCTAGGGGTTCAGGTACATAGTCTTTGAAATTTGCGTCACAGGTAGACAGGGTGATTAAGAAGGCATATGGCACACTTGCTTTCGTTGCTCAGACCATTGAGTATAGGAGTTGGGACATCATGTTGAATTGTACAGGACATTAGTGAGGCCACTATTGGGGTACTGTGTCCAGTTCTGGGTGCCCTGCTGTAGGAAGGATATTATTAAATTGGAGAGGGTTCAGAAAAGATTTACCAGGACGTTGCCAAGAATGGAGGGTTTAAGTTATAGGGAGAGGCTAGATAGGCTGGGACTTAGTCACGTAAAAGGTAAAGTCACGATAGTCGCCGCAGAAAGAGACAACTGGTGGTGGTTTAACCTGAAGTTCACCATATCTCAGGTGAGGGATGAGGTTGAGAAGGCAGGACCTTCATGGTAACCTCAAACAGTGCAGGAAGTGAACCCATGCCATTAGCAGCACTCCATATTGAAAACCAGTTATCCAGCCAACTAAGCTAACTATTAGCAGCATGATGCAGACAAATTCTGCCATTCCTGACTCAAAGACCGAACACCATCTTGGCGACCTCCCTAACACAAGGACAGCAGAGGTTGAGATAAAGGCCATTTTCTCAAAGCAGCTAGGAATGGGCAAGAAATGAACCTTTACCCAGAGTAAAAATTAAACAACAAAACAAAATCACAAGCGTGTTCTATCTCCTGAAGTGGGATATCCTTCACATATTTATGAAGCAGGCTCTTTTGTGAATAGTTTAATATATATTGTGGTGGGATACACTGCTGTGAGCCATTGTATTCATTCTGGTTAGGTAATCTGAATTTATTCTTTCCATTTTAATTCAATCAGAATTATCCAATTTAGGGGAAAACAGATGATCTGTAATAATGTACATGTTTGACCAAGACAGTAAGGAGACCTTTTTAAATTGAACAAATTGCCACTCACTTTCAAGGACGATGGTTATCACTCTTAGGATGTGGAGGCCGTATACCTCACCATGCAGATGCAGAACACTTCAACTATTTTTCTCATTTACTTACTTGTTACAGTCCACATATAAAATCAAGTGAGATGCACTGATGACCAAGGCAACACGATGCCACTGCCCATCAGCCAAAGCATATGGGAAGACCTCTGTGTGAGACTGATGGCTGCCAGATTGATAGTGAAAACGAACTTCATTCCGATGGCCGCTACTCTCCACCTCCAGATACCTAGAAAAGAAACAGTATTCTCACTGCAAGACCTGTGAAACTATAGAGTTCATTCATAATGTTGATATCTGTCTCACAACCTCCTATGCTTTCCTGAGATGCCCTGTCTGCTTCAATCTTTCTGTTCCTTTACAGCTCCATTGTTTTTTTTTAAATAGACAAGGCTGATATCATACAAACACAATTCCTGATTAACTACATTTTCCTTTCCACTCTGTTCACAGAATCACAGAACTGTAGATGGCACGGAAAGAGGCCATTTGGCCCATCGTACCTGACTCGGTTCTATATTTAATGCAAATTTTCTGCCTTTTTCCATCTGCCTGCGCACCATTTCTATCCAAATAACTATCCAATGCCCCTTTAGAGTGCCTCAATTGAAAGTGCCTCCACTACATTTCCAGGCAGTGCATTCCACACCCTAACTGTTTGCTGAATGAAAACATTATTTTCACACCACCTTTGCTTCTTCGGTCTGATTTTCCAATAAAAGCAAAAACAGTGAAGAATTAACAAAAGGTTTGTTGCATGCTTTCTGCATGTTGTTACATAACTGGCCCTAATAAATTGTAACAAGGCCAGAAACTTACATTTATACAGCCGTATTAAGATAAAAACACGTCGAAAGATGCCTGACAGATACATTGAGAAAATGAAATGAGTCAATAAAGGAAAGGTCGGGAGGAGCAACTGAAAACTTGATGACATGTGCACTTTAACTAGAACCTGAATAAAGGAATAAAGAGGTGGGGAAAGGTCACTGGGGATAGATAGTTTCAGCTGACAAGGTCTAAGGGACTGAAGATGGCAAAGGGGAAGGGGAAGAAGAGGGAAAGACGGGAGGGGGCCCTAGGTGGAGAACTGGAAAATTCAGGGATGAGAATGACGTTGGGAGGAAAAAAAAATAATTGAATGTGTCGAGATGAGAGTGATAAATTTAAGTTGGTAGACAAAGAGCAAGCACAGGTCAGTGAGGGCAGAGTTTGTTTAATATGCCAGGTGAAAGAACAGGTAAATACTAAGATTAATGATGGATACAATCCAGCAGGGAGAGTGTTAGGCAGTTTATAGAACATTGGGGATGATAGGCTGACCAGTGTAACAGAGGTATGACAGAATGTGTAGGTGGCAACTTTTGATGGCAAGTAGAATGGAACAGCTGTAGAGTCACCTCAGGATGTTGCATTGTGAAGTCTTTTTCTTCGATTCTTCATCTGTGGGATGTTACTGTCACTGTGCCAGGCAGCATTTATTGCCCATCCCTAATTGCCCAGAGAGCAGTTAAGAATCAACCACATTACTGTGGGTCTAGAGTCTCATGTAGTCCAGATCAGATAAGGATGGCAATTTCCTTCCCCAAAGGACATTAGTGGACCAGATGGGATATTACCTCTCACAATTGACAATGATATCATGGACATCATCAGACTCTTATTTCCAGATTATTATTGAATTCAAATTCCACCATTTGCCATGGTGGGATTCAAACCCAGTCCCCAGAACATTACCTGGGTCGCTGGATTAATAATCTAGCAATAATTCCATTAGGCCATCACCTGTCTGAATCACTGTGAGCAGTTTTGGAGTCCATATCTAATGAAAGATGTGTTGGCGTTGGACGGCTTCCGAGGAAGTTCACAAGAATGATTCCGGGATAAAGGGCTTGTCACATGAAGAGTGGTTGAGAACTCTGGGTCTGTAGTCATGTAGTTTAGAAGGATGAGGGCGATCTCATTGAAGCTTACAGAATATTGAGGGGCCTGGGTAGACTGGACATGCAGAAGATGTTTCCCCGAGAGGAGAGACTGAGACCCAAAGGCACGGCCTCAGAGTGAAAGGACGATCCTTGAGAACTGAGATCAGGAGGAATTTCACCAGAGAGCGGTGAATCTGTGGAACTCATTACTGCAGAAGGTTTTGGAGGCCAAATAATTGAGTGTTTTTAAGACAGAGATAGACAGGCTCTTGATTGATAAGTGGATCAAGGGTTATGGGAAACAGGCAGAAGAATGGGGTTGAGAAACATATCAGCCATGATCAAATGGTGGAGCACACTCGATGGGCTGAATGGCCTAATTCTGCTCTAATATCCGATGGTCTTATTCTGGAACAGTGGCTGGGAAAAGAATAGCATCAGTGCGAGGGTAGAAGACTGAAGAAGGGCCCAAATAGCTATACCTAGTTTCAACTTGCAGCGTGATTTGTACTGGTGTGCTCCAAAGCAGGCAGTAAACCATCTGATCTGCATTAGACCTCATTTACACGGTAGACAGGGACTGAGAGTAATCAAAAAGGAAAATGGAAGGTGATATCTGGTGGACTCATACAAGAGCATAAAAGTCATGCTGTAGCGAGTTATATGACAGGTACTGACACCATCACCTACTATTGCATAGTTAACATCGTCCATCTCTAGCTTTATATCATTTCATTTGTCACTGAAACTCTCACCTACATGCTCAATTATCCTGGCCAGCCCCTCATACTGTACCCTCCATAAACTTTAACTTTAACCCTTACCAGTCTCCATCCAGACTGCATCCTAATCCTCATTAAATATTGCATACCAGTTACCTTTGTCCTTGCTGACAATACTGGTTCTTAGTCTCTTAACACCTCAAACTTACAATTCACACCCAACTCTAGTCAGACCACATCTGTAGTTCTACGTTCTGTCATGAGCATTGTTTCTTAGGAAGGAAAGACCCAAACGGGATGGAGTGTAGATTTTGCAGAATGATATCTGGACTCCAACCAGTGATTTATGATGAGAAACTGCACAGACCAGTGTTGAATTCCATGGAATGTATTAGTATAGGATGTGACTTGAGATTAAATTAACCTGACAGAGTGGATAGACAGAAAAACTATTTCTCTTGGGAATCTAAAACTAGGGAACATAAGCCAAATGTTGTCAGGGCTTTCAGGAGTGAAATTAGGTAACGTATTTACAAGCAAAGGGTGGCAAACGTTCACAACTCTCTTCCACAAATGGCATTTGATCATAGGTTAATCATTAATTTTAAGACTGAGATTGGTAGATTTTTGCCAATCAAATATATTACAATGGCCTGGGGTATGGAGACAAATCAGCGATGATCTCCTTCTACATAAAAACTTTGAGCAGAAGTGGGGCATTCAGCCCCTTGAGCCTGCTCCACTATTCAATACAATCGTGGCTGATCTCGTTTTGGTCTAAACTCCTCTTTCCTGCCACTACTGTAACCCTTTAAACCGTTGCTAATTAAAAATCTATTGCCTTCTTAAATTTATTCAGTGTCCCAGCATCCACTGCATTTTGAATTCCACAGATTCACAATGCTGTGAGAGGCGTAATTTCTCCTCATCTTCATTTTAAATCTGCCTCCCCTTAACCTAAAACAATGACATTTCATTCTAGATTGCCCTACATGGGGAAACTTCTACTCCACATCTACTGTGTCAATCAACTTTAGCATTTTAAACACCTCAATTAGATCTCCCCTTTTCCTTCGAAACTCTAGTAAGTATAGCCCTAAACTGCTCAATCTCTCTTCAAAGGACAAGCCTTTGAACAGTGAAACAGACTTCAGCAATTAAATGGCCTACTGTTTCCTATGGAATTCTGTCTTCCACCTAATATTAGTGGCAAGTGCTAGCTGGCCAATGGGCAGGCCCAGGCAGACTCAACCATTGAAGCTTCAAACAAATGGTCCTGGCTTTATTCAGTCAATCATTTTGGAAAGTGGAGTGGTGGCAATACTATTGATCATTCTTATTCCTCCTAGTCCACAAAGAAACAAGAAAAAGGGTACTCATCCACTTCTGAAGAAGGGTCCCGACCTGAAACGTCAGCTTTCCTGCTCCTCTGATGCTGCCTGGCCTGCTGTGTTCCTCCAGCTCCACACTGTGTTCCCTCTGATGCTGCCTGGCCTGCTGTGTTCCTCCAGCTCCACACTGTGTTCCCTCTGATGCTGCCTGGCCTGCTGTGTTCCTCCAGCTCCACACTGTGTTATCTCTGGCTCCAGCGTCTGCAGTTCTTGCTATCTCCCTCATCCTAAAACCCTATGGCCAACGTCACCAACCAATGATAGGCTCACTGGTGCATCAACAGAGGTTCTGACAATGCAGCTGTTAAGGTGATAAACATCACACAGATAGCCTAAACGACAGATTTTATACTGATTTTAATCTGGGATTTCAACCAGCAAGAAATGTCACCTGGTGAACACTTCGAGACTTTTTCAACATAAAGGTTAATGTCACAACAATGTTATGTTGCAAGAGGGCCATGGAAGTCATGCAGCAGATTTGACCCCAGGCTGCTTTGTGCCATAACTTGACGGTATAGGGGATTAATCAGTTGTAAACCTCACCACCACCCTAACGAATCCTTACATCCCATTTTACACAAGTCTTTTAAAGGGATTAATACTGGAGGCTCATCAGCACTTCGGCTACAGTGCCCATTTAGTATTTTCAGGTTTCATATTAATTTATGATTCTTTCTAAATATCACATTCTAAGAACAGAGTCCTCAAAAATTTTCTTAATGAACTGCATATCTATTCCCAATAAACTACTTCTTGTGAGATCATTAAATCTTCAGTGTGAAATGCCAACAAAACCATCCCGATCAGACACTGCCGAATAACTCTCTCCCCAATAGAGCATTTATTTAAAATATAATTGGCACACTTGAGTGATTACAAGGTAGTAACTTAATCCCAGCTGAGTTACAAACCATCAAATGATTTATTGTGGAAGTCACCATGAGACTACAGTGGTACAATTACACCCAGGTAACTTTTCATCTTAGATTGGTCTAAATTCCTCCTCCAGTGAAAAATGGGAGAATGCTTACCTTCTTCTCCATAATTAAAGGTCTACTCGTGAAACTGTGGAAAATCGTGGATTTGCAATGTGTGATAACTGTCATTGAAATTAGTAGGGCATTAACTATCAAGAAAAACAGGTATCTCCCCTAATTCCTGTTCAGTGGAATTTCTATTCCCTAGCAACTACAAACCAATTTCTATCATTCTCTGTGAAATCAATTTCTTACATCCATTATCCACTCTGTAATCACTCTCGTGCTTCCATTATACTCGTAAGTAATCACCCTCAGATTTCCATTATTTTATATGTAATAATCTCTGCAACGTATTCGTTATTCTGTGTGCAATCAATTCATTATTATTTATGTAAGTGAGTCAAGACATCCATTATTCTTTATTAGATCGATCCCAGATATCTATTATTCTCTCTGTAATGGATTTTCGATTTCCATTATTTCCCATGCAATCACTCATAGGTAGCCAATATTGTCTATGCAATCAATCCTGGGTATCTGCTATTCCCTTTGTAATCACGCCTGGTTTTTGAATATTATTTCAATCAATGAAGTTTGGAGATTTCACATTTTCATATCAGAAACTGAACTGTACTGCGTGGTATAGAACTTTATTAATTGTGTGCCTTTCACTTTGTTGCCTTTGTTTCTCCTGGCAACAAGCAAGGAATAAAATCTGTAGAGATGGACTGCCATTATAAATATTGACAAACTCTAAGCAGATTATCTCTGTGATGCAACATTAGGGAAATATCATCTTTTAATATTAACATTTTTACAAAAATAGAATGAACCAATTTTTTTGTAAAAATGGAATTATCATTTTTGGCTTGTTTAAAGCAAGGGATCTGTTGTGGAAATTATCTGAAGACTAAAAATGGTTTTGAGGGCGAAGTTAAATTGGATTTCTTGCTTTGTGCAAAATACCTTCACAATCCACGAATAACTTGTTCAGTGACCTCCTGCACACAAAATGCTCAAAGCTTCATAAGAGAAACATCGCTGTGATTCTACTGGTCTAAAAGAGGTTAAAATTATTGAGTTGGAAAAGTAGCATTCAAAGAACATGTCATGATACTGTTTGCAGTTCTGATTATCTGATAGATGTGAAAACACAAATGGAAGACAAATGGGCCAGTGATGAATTTATGCTTGAAATTTGTTTTTGGTTTCTGTCGTGCTCACTGCTTTGTATTGGCTTTGTTTAAAGATATAGTTTGCCAGGGGGAGGCAATGGCCTACTGGTATTATTGTGAGCCTATTAATCCAGAGACCTGGATTTGAATGCCACCATGGCAGATGGCAAAATTTGAGTTCAATAAAAACCTGGAAATAAGAGTCAAGATGACAGCAATACCAGGTGACTGTTTGTGAGCTGTCTACAGCAGATCTTATCCTCACACTTCTTATAGCTGTTCTGCACTTTTAAACCTAAATTCTAAGTCTGTAAAACTCACTAATAACGTTCTCTTAAATCTACTTATAAGTCTGAAGATCCTATAGATGTCCAGACCTGAGTATTACTGATGCTGAATTAGATGCTGAATGGACCTCTCTAACTTCAAATCTAATACTGACCTTGACAACAAGGTGCAGGGCTGGATGAACACAGCAGGCCAAGCAGCATCATAGGAGCAGAGAGGCTGACGTTTCGGGCCTAGACCCTTCATCAGAAAAGGGGGAGGGGAAGTGGGTTTTGAAATAAATAGGGAGAGAGTGGGAGGCGGGTAGAAGATGGATAGAGGAGAGGGTAGGTGGAGAGGAAACAAACAGGTCGAAGAGGCGGGGATGGAGCCAGTAAAGGTGAGTGTAGGTGGGGAGTTAGGGAGGGTATAGGTCAGTCCAGGGAGGACGGACAGGTCAAGGGGGCGGGATGAGGTTGGTCGGTAGGAGATGGAGGTGCGGCTTGAGGTGGGAGGAGGGGATAGGTGGGAGGAAGAACAGGTTAGGGAAGCAGGGATGAGCTGGACTGGTTTTGGAATGCGGTAGGGGGAGGGGAGATTTTGAAACTTGTGAATCAGTTCGCAATAAACAACTGCACCTCCCAGTCGCGAACCATTTCAACTCCCCCTCCCATTCCTCAGACGACACGTCCATCCTGGGCCTCCTGCAGTGCCACAACGATGCCACCCGAAGGTTGCAGGAACAGCAACTCATATTCCGCTTGGGAACCCTGCAGCCTAATGGTATCAATGTGGATTTCACAAGTTTCAAAATCTCCCCTCCTCCTACCGCATCCCAAAACCAGTCCAGTTCGTCCCTGCCTCCCTAACCTGTTCTTCCTCCCACCTATCCCCTCCTCCCACCTCAAGCCGCACCTCCATCTCCTACCGACCAACCTCATCCCGCTCCCTTGACCTGTCCGTCCTCCCTGGACTGACCTATCCCCTTCCTAACTCCCCACCTACACTCATCTTTACTGGCCCCATCCCCGCCTCTTCGACCTGTTTGTTTCCTCTCCACCTATCCTCTCCTCTATCCATCTTCTATCCGCCTCCCACTCTCTCCCTATTTATTTCAGAACCCCCTTCCCCTCCCCCTTTTCTGATGAAGGGTCTAGGCCCGAAACATCAGCCTTTCTGCTCCTATGATGCTGCTTGGCCTGCTGTGTTCATCCAGCCCTGCACCTTGTTGTCTCGGATTCTCCAGCATCTGCAGTTCCTACTATCTCTAATATTGACCTTCTTTTGTGCACCTCCTGTGCAGTTGAAACCTGTATGCCTCGCTCCATCTAAGCACCCTATATGTTCTGTATGTCCTTGTTTGCTATGATCTGCCTGTACAGCTCGCAAAACAAAACTGTTCACGTAGGTACATGTGACAACAATAAATCAAACCAAATAAAATCTAATCTAATCCAATCTAAGAGTCTAACGATGACTATAAAACTGTAGATAATCATTGGGAAGAAATCCCATCTGGTTCACTAATGTCCTTTAGGGAGGGAAACTGCCATCCTTACTCAGCCTGGCCTACATGTGACTCCAGACAAACAGCAATGCTGTTGACTCTTATCTCCCCTCTGAGCAATTAGGGATAGGTAATAAATGCTGCAAGCATTTACCTAGCCAGTGATGCCACATCCTGTGAATGAATAAAAATACATACAAAGGGAGAAATCTGAGAAATTTGGGTCTCCAATCACAGATAAAACCCAACATGTTTCATATTGCTAGCCAACCTGTACCTCACTGTCAAGGCTGACACACAAAGAATGATCAGTTGGATCGAGCAGTTAAAAATACCTAATGTGTTTTAACATGTGAAGGTAAAAGGAGAAATAACTGACTAAATGGACATAATCCACCAATCCTTCAGCATATTAACTGGGCAAAATTGTTATTGAATTCTTCTGATCATTTTTGATGTCATCTCTTTGAAGATCATTGATGTCACTTTTGATTTGTCATACAATTAGGTTCCTTCATTAAATTATGCTAAAATTGTGGCAAAGTAAAAACCTGCAAAGAGCCGTGTGAATGTTTATATTGTTGACTTACTGAGTGTTAATATATACAAAAGTACTGTCATGTAAGTAGGCTTGAAGCAATCGAATAAATACACATGACAAGTGGCATGTGAAACAGAAGTGTCTGTGACCTCTTCTTTCCCACTTAATGATAAACCAACAAAAATATTTTCAATGACTAACAAAACCAGAAGTTGCTGGAGAAGCTCAACAGGTTTGGCAGTATCTGTGAAGAGAGAAAGCAGAGGTAACATTTCTTCAGAAATTGGCTCTGAAGAATGGTCATTGGACGCAAAATGTTACCTGTTTTCTCTCCACAGATGCCACCAGACCTGCTGAGTTTCTACAGCACTTTCTGTTTTTGTTCCAGCATCTAAAGTTCTTTGTTTTAATTTTGAATAAGATACCGAGCTTATTTCCCAATCTATACTGAGTTGTATAACGTCAACCAAAAGAGTGATGTCCATAGTATAAGACATTGCAAAGTTCCATAGATTGGGCAGAGTGTGAAAAGCAGCCAGGATTTTCCCCTTTTGGATCAATATGAAGTGTATGTGAAGTCAGGTTTTGCACCTTTCTCTCCATGTGATTGGACAGCCTGTACCTCACTGTCAAGGCTGACACACAAAGAATGATCAATTGGATCAAGCAGTAAAAAACTGGCAATCCCTCTCAGTAATCCCTTCATCTCATTTACCACCTTTGAGGCAGGAGAATATTGGAAGCTAAAAATTTCGCAGCAATTTGAAGAACATAGAATGTGCCTGCAAGGTTTTGCAGTTTTGAACGACTTTTCCCTGCGTCCCAAATACCAAATACTCAACCTGAATCCAAATTCCACCACTGATAGACTTTCTTTCCCCTTAAAGCTCTGAAGACATTGGATCCCTCCTTACTACCTCACACAGCATTCTCTTTTGTCAGATGCAGTTTGAAAAATATACTGACAGTACTCCAAAATAATAAACAATTTTCTGCCTGTTTTTCCTAAAGAAGGCAGTCAGCTAATTTTACAATTATCCCAAATGCTGTTTTCTTTGGAAAATAAACTGCAGCCCTAGATGAATTTTGACCTGACGCTTAATGCACTTATGATAAACAGAATGAACACCTTCATGTGAAATAAGCATGATGTCACTGACCTCTTATCTGAATGATGAATAGACAGGAAGACTCCTGAATTATAGTGGACCTGCTTCAGTGTAATCAGAACAGTAAACTCATGAGTGTATCTCAGCCTCTGAAAAATATGTTCAACTGTAGATGGAGACGCTTTTAAATTTCTGGCAGTATCTGTAGAGAGAGGGAATAAAGGTGAGCCAGCAGTAATCCACAATTATTTTCTCCAACATTTCAATAGCAGGGTAGGAATTTCTCTTTCAGATTTAGTAGTGCTAATGAAATCTCAACCAACTTACCGTGATTTATTCTGTGCTACTGGTGGAAATCAAAATGCTTATCAAGTCCTTCCTACGCTGACCTTCTCAGAGTGCACCACTTTGTTCACAATTGCTTCATTTCATTTGAGGATAGCTAACTAAATAAAAACCGAAAGAACTGCGGATGCTGTAAATCAGAAACAAAAATAGAAATTGCTGGGAATGCTCAGCAGGTCTGGCAGCATCTGTGGAAAGAAATCAACGTTAATGTTTCGGGTCCAGTAACCTTTCCTCAGAACTGATGGTAGCTAGGAAAATTCGGCTGATAGCCAGACAGAAGGATGGGGTGAAGGGGTTAAGGAGTAAACAATAGGTGGGGATAGAGCCCAAAAAGAGAGAAGAACAGTTGGACAAAAGAGTGGGTAACAATCTGGTTAGGAGGGTGAATAGCTGTCATGGAGACTGCTCATGGCTAACAATGGGTTGTGTGTTATAGCAGACTATGTGATCACAAGGCCTGGTGTGTGGGGATTAGGGTAAGGACATGGGAGAGCTCAAGCCTTAGTGTTATTGAACTCGATATTGAGACCAGAAGGCTTCAGGGTCCCCAAACAGAAAATGAGGTGTTGTTCTTCCAGCTTGCGCTGAGCTTCACTGGAACACTGCAGCAAGCCTGAGACAGATATTGGCCAGGGAACAGGGTGGTGTGTTGAAGTGGCAGGCAACTGAAAGCTCAGGGTCATTTTTGCAGACAGAACATAGATGTTCTGCGAAGCGGTCACCCAGTCGACATTTTGTTTCCTCAAAGTAGAGGAGACCACATTGTGAGCAGCGAATGCGGTAGACTAGATTGTGTGAAGTGCAGGTCAAGTGCTGCTTCACCTGGAAGGTGTGTTTGGCCTCTGGATACTGAAACTAACTAAAGATAGACATTATTTGTGGTACAAGCTCCGACAGATGAATTAAAATCTCTGGGAGAAACACTGCTAGTATATTTAGCATTGTCTGAAAGATATAACTTCTGTGTAGCTCCGACAACTATTGGAGGGGCTCTTGTGGTACAGTGGTGGTGTCCATACCTCTGGACTAGGGGCCTGGGTTTTAAGTCACAACCTGTTCCAGCCGTGTGTCATAGCACATCTGAGCAGGTTGATTAGAAAATATCTTGATAGTCGATGGGTTGAGTAATGGATGGAGAGAGATTTGATAGACTGAGGTCGATTTCTTTGACACATAGACGCAACTTGATTGAGATGTGTAAACTTATGAGGGGCATAGATAGGAAGACAAGAAGGAATTTTTCTTTCCCCTTCGTGGAGAGATCAATGACTGTGGGACATAGATTTAAGGTAAGGGGCCGGAGGTTTAGAGGAGATGTGAGGAAAACTTTTTTCACCAGGAGAGTGGTGGGAATTTGGAACTCACTGCCTGTAAGGATTGGAGAGACAGAAACCCTTATCACATTGAAGAAGTGTATAGATGTGCACTTGTGATGCCAAAGCATACTGGGTAGTGGGCCAAGTGCTGGAAAATCAGTTTAAAATAGTTAGATGGTTGTTTTAACCAGCATGAACACGATGGGCAAAGGGCCTTTTCCTGTGCTGTAAATCCTTATGACTTGAAGGGATGGGTAGAACTGCCCAAACAGTAACCAATGTTATTAATGCTCCTCTGTCTGCTCTATTGTTTCCTTTGACACATTTGCTAAGAAACTAAAAGACCCTGGACCTTCAAAAACACCAGCAGAACAATGCCATTTAGAATACTTCCTCAGATCATTAATAACAAAATCACAATGCTTCAGGTACTGTATTTGACATAAAGTAAGAAGTGGGTTTCAGCCAGTTATGATTGAATGTCTTTTATATTCACGTTCAACTTGGAAAGAAAGTTACATTAATCTCCATTTACGTTTCAGTGGCAAGTTAGCTCTGAATTACAGTCATTCAACCTGAATTCACCAATTCTAAATCAATCAACTACTTAGTTCGAGAGAATGCTTCAAAGAAGGGAAATCAAAATCAAGAATGATTCAGAGTTGCCAGCACATTCCAGTGTGTTGCTTGTAATCAGCAAATATGGCATTCCTATGCATTATTTCTCACAACCAGTTAATGGTAGCTTGCAGTCCATGAAGGGAAAATGCATTGTAGCTGGCTCAGGCACCGATAGTCCTACAGGAAGCAAATCTAGCCTCAGAAACACTGATACAACATGGGACTCAGTAAACTTCAAGGTTTTCAGACACCTGGGACCTTGCTGAAGGAGTTGGAGAAATGTCCTGCTTTCGCAAAGGGTCAGGAAAACCTCCAGGCACATGCTCAAAAAGCAGTGGGAGTTAATAGACCTGGTGATCAATGTCAGGATCTGAGGATCTTAATGTAGCAGCACAAGAAGTTCAGTAACCCCTCGCAGTGAATGCATCTCTGAATGTCATTGTTTTGCAATTCCAATATAGAGCAGAGTTGAAATGAATACAGTCACTAGCACCCTACACATTGAAGAAGACTGCAACCCTAATGAAGCTGTGGCCTCACTCCAGCTGGTGTCCCTGGCCACAGACAATGAAATATAGGTAGCTGTCTTTGAATTGTAATCTCTCTCTTAGTGACCTCTGCTTAGCCACCATGAATGGCAAACTGTGAAATATTACCAATGAATCCAGCTTCAGCCAAAGGAACCAGGCACCTGAGAGTTTTAACTCTACGGTCCCCTTCACAGCCATTGGTTAAACTACTACGAGCCCACCAGCTTTGATGGCCTATCATGCTGCCCATACCTGGGTATTGAGCCACGGCACTGGAAATAAACACGCAGGGGCAGCAGGCGGTGACAAAGGTAAATGGGATGTTGGCCATCATAGCGAGAGGATTTGAGTACAGGAGCAGGGATGTCTCACTGCACTTGTGATGACACCACACCTAGAGTATTGTTTTGCATTTTTAGTCTCCTTACCTGAGGAAGGATGTTCTGCCCATGGAGGGTGTGCAACAAAGGTTTACCAGTCTAATTCCTGGGGAGGCAGAACTGACATTGGAGGAGAAATTGAGTCATTTAGGACTATATTCACTGGAGTTTAGAAGAATGAAGGACGATCTCATTGAAACCAATTACATTCCAACAGGACAAGACAGGGTAAAAGCGGGAAGGATGTTCCCAATGGCCAGTCTAAGGATATGGGGTAGGCCATTTAGGACTGAAATGAGGAGACATTTCTTCACCCAGAGAGTGGTGAGCCTGTGGAATTCTCTGCCACAGCTGAGGCCAAAACATTGAACATTTTCGAGAGGAGTTAGAAATAGTTCTTAGGGCTAAAGGAATCAAAGGGAATGGATATTGGGAACTGAGGGTACTGAGCTGGATGATTAGCCATGATCATATTGAATGGTCGAGTAGGTTCAAGAGCCAAATGGCCTACACCTACTTCTATTTTCTTTGTTTCTAGGAGCCAGTCTTCTGGTCAATAATTAGTCAATTTGTGGAAAATCCAAGGCCAGGGACTGTTTTTCACAACAGGCTTTTTCTCAACCCCACTTGACACTAACATCGGGGTTTTGAGGCCCAGGAGGAAAGTCCTGCCCAGGATTATACCACATTGTGAGATAACATCTCACTTATACAAGCTGCTAATTAGCCAGCTCAAAAAGACAGTGTACAATGAAGTCTCAGAGAGATCTTAGATGTATTTCTGACGCAGAGAAAGGACAAATAGAGGAGATAGACAGGGACATCTGGGTCAGAAAGAAAACAGTTTTTTGTTGCTGTATAACTCCATTGCCTTGTTCTTCATTTGAAATTTGAAAGATAAAAGTTAACAGCGAATTGATCTGCTTCATCACTATCTCCAAAAATCAATTTCTTTTATGTTTTGTTTTTATAAAAAGATTTCTGCAATCCCCAATTACATTGTGTAGGTTTGCTATTGATCAATTTTGGTCTTTTATTGTTAACTGTACATGTTTTCTCGACTCCAGTAAGATAATTGTTGAGGGACAAAACTCCCTGATGGGCAAGAGGGGTTTAAAATGAAAGAAGCTGAATCCCAGTTCTCACCTAGCCATGACGTCTGTTACAACTTTAATTTCTCTAGTCCTGGTGATCAGACCATAAACTGTGGGAGCAGAAGTTAGTGGTTCAGCCCATCGAGTCTGCTCCATCATTCAATGAGATCATGGTTGGTCTGATAATCCTCAACTCTACCTTCCTGTCTTTTCCCTATAACTCTTGATTTCCTTACTGATTAAAAATCCATTTATCTAGCCTTTAGGCTGATTTTTACACTTTCTTACCAATACATTTTGACAGGCTATGTTTGTGTGTGTGTGTTTAAGGCATATTTTGTTAAATCCATCAACATCCCACTCACCTCAAACCTAACTGCAATTAACACAATGATGGTACTGGTATTGGGCAGCTTGCCTTCCAGTGGGCCTACTGAGGCTATTGTGTCAGCAGTTAATTCCCACTTCATCATCTCAGCCCACTGCCGCTGGGAATTACCTGGCAGTGGGTGGGACCATTAGAAGCAGTCACCTTGGCATGTTTCCCTGCATGGGCTGGCAGTGAGCAGGTGTGGTGCGTTCCTCCTTAATGGTCCTCAGAGACCTGTAAACTGACCTCCAAATTGCCAACACCACACACCCCTGCCTGGAAGCCATAGACAGCTGCTAGCCACTGATTGGTTAAGCAGTTCTTGAAGGTGGGATGTCCTTATCCAACGGAAGCTGTTTCGTACTGGTATTCCCCTCAGCTGGTCTATCCATGGGTTTTCTTCACAGCAGTGGGAGGGCTAAAATCCAATACCTCATATAAGCCATCTCATCAACTCTGTTTCTGTCTCTCTGCAAAGGCTCACTGGCTTAATCTCCCAGTTTTTCTTGCAGAAAATGAACACAGTGAACTTTTGGCCATCCT